AGAGCATTAAAGAAAAGCTTCAGGAGACCAATGCAATCAGGAACATCAAAGACATGTCAAGCTATAATGAGAAAGACCCAAAAGCACTCCTGGTGTAGCACTGCCAACATTAGTGGATACTCACCAGGGGACAATTTGTCCCATTTTTGTTATTAGCAGTATCTGTAAGAACTGCTTGCCACCTCCTGGCAATACATAATTGCAGACAAAAAAAATGGGGGGAAAAAATAAAGCACCATATTTTTTATTCAATCAAATCCTTTTTGATTCCCTAGGAAAATAATTCTGGGAAGATATGAGAACAGCTGCTAAGACATTTCAGAAAACACTTCATCCAGACTAATGAAAGTGTCCAAAGCTTTAATATATTGTACATTATTCATATAATTTGAAAATTTAAAAGGCTTTGAGATTTTATTGTACTTAAGTAATAAATTGTGATGTAATTTCTACTCTTACTCCTAAATATTCAATAAATTAATATTAGTACTTTATGGATAATTATATCTGATGAAAAACCACACATCCTTGATAAATTAGTAAACAATTATCTAAAATATTTTGATGCTAAGGGAGAACCTAGCCACAAATCAGAGGTCCATGGGCAGAGCTCTCCTCTCTATCACGACTAAAGCCAGGGTTCTTTTTCTCATGGCTCAGCCATCAGCAAGCACTGGATCCAGGTAGAACAGTCAAGACAGGAGCAAATAGACTCATGAGAGCAATACCCTCATTTCCACTCCACTGAATGTGTGAGAGCTGACAGAGCAAAACAAACAATTCATGTATGTGGCAGCCCTACCTCAAATAAAAAAACCTTTAGACAGAAAACTTCTGTTCCTGATGTTTTCCCTGTGTCACTCTTCCCCCAGAATGGCTGTGTTCATCTCCCACGTGTCCTCCCACACACTCAGTCTTGTGTCTGTGGTGGCTCTTACTCAGTTAGCAATTTACTCCTTTGCCTGGGAGTTATGCAAAGCTGGTCGTAGGTGAGTCATTCTTACACATCCCATGGAGAAGTGCCACCAGCTTGTGTTACAGTAGCTTGTAGAAATTAAAAGCCACCCAGTAAACACCTACAGAATTACACCAAATGAAATGCCATCACAGTGGCAGATTACAGTGCTGCTCCCAGCTCATTTGTCTTGTCTAAATTAGTAGGTCAAGGGAGATTTTCTCCCTTCAAAGAAAGAAGGCAGGCATCCATTAGCCTTCAGTGATGGGTATACTTTTGAAAAACAATTTCTCTCACAGTAAGAATGTTATCATGGTGACAAAGTCAGAAGTTCAAAACTATGTTGTCCTTAAATCTCTCCAGCAGTTGCAACTGAATGCGACATTCTACTCATCTGCTTGCAAGTTGTTTGGGCATTGGTAGTTCGTGCTCTGTTAAGCAAATACTGTTTTCTGTTCCTCACAGAGGTGAAGGAAGAAAAAAGTAAAATCAGTGCTCTGTCTCTGGTTTAGTATGTTTACAAAATGCTTTGCGATATGTTGAAATAACAGACAGTAAAAGCAGGTTATGTTCCCAATTAACTCAAAGGTTTTATAAAAAGCCTTAGACCAACAGAATAAAAAGTATTCAGAAATATTAATAACTCTCTCAAAAATGTAGCTAGAAACTGAGTATAATCATGAAAATAAATTACTCGTTTAACTGCTCTGCAGGATAAAATTTTACATTTTTCTCTTGTTTATGTTTGCTATGGAGAAGCAATCATTTTAGTGCTGGTTGAACAAGTCCAAATGAACTCTTATGGCTTGAACACAGCTCTTTAAAAGGTTTTTTGTTATGAGCAACAAATTACTTACATTCCTGCACTTTTCTCTACTCTAGTAATTTTTACACTTTTCCACAATGTTCAAACATTAGAGGGAAGTTGGCTACAGTACCCTGACATGAGGATTCTCCTCGCTAGCAAGTGACATATTGCAACAATGACTTGTTGACATTAACGTCTACCAAGGCTGAAGATGACTTTCTATGTCATGAAATGTCATTTCATTTGAAAGAAAATCAGGTTAGGTTTGATTTGGCTGTCTCGGACTGATGGTACTTAAACCTTAAAAAAAGTAATTTTCTTCTTACTTGCAAGGGCTATATTGCCAAAGAATATAAATGATAGTTTTATTCCATGGCAGCATTGTTCCATAATCACTGGAAATACAACCTATATTATATATTGGTGCCTTCCCAATAAGTATTTTAAACATAGTGCAGCCAGTGACCCACCCGGGCTTGTCCCACAGCCAAACCTAAAAACCTGTGGCTACAAGTTTTCTTACTTAGTTGGCCAAGCTGTCTTTTACTTAGGGTTTTCTGGGGGAGAGATAAAATTTAGTAATGCATATAATATGGCATGTCCCAGTTTATAGACACCTATACTTGTATATCAGTATATGTAAGAGATATGCTGACTCACTTTTGTTGAAGTACATTCTAACCCACTATGATTTCTCACTACAACATTTTGTTGTTTTTTTCATCCCCTTTAAAAAAGAAAATAGGAGAAATTCTATCATCTCCAGGCAATAAAGCAGTAGGTCACTAACCTTCACGTCTCTTCTCCAGAGCATCCTACAAATAACTGGTACCATATTATCCTTTTTGCCTCAGAGGAGCCACGACATGTTTGCCACCTTGATTTTGAATGGTGTGCCCCTGGTTTGTCCTCCTGGAGGAGAAGCAGCTGATTTGGGCATAGTGGTACCTTTTCCACAGAGGCAGTCTTGTTACCCAAAAGCATCTTGCTGCTCCAGGCTATTTGGTGTTTTTACTGGCGTGTAGCTGATACCACCCAAAGGAACCAGCTATTTCTGTAATCAGAAGCTCTCACAGCCTAACATGAGATTGGATAATGGCCCACTGCTCTTCACTGACGTTGAAAAACTGTGAAAAACAACATTTCATGGACAACTAGGAAAGAAGATTGTAGTTCAGACAAATACGTTGGTCCAACCCTTGGCACACCTCTACTCTGGGTAGGAGTGACAATGCCATGAAAAGTATAAACTTAATTTTCCAAAGCTCAGGATGGCTTCTTCAGTTTTCTCAGGTACCTTGCTGGTGCACGTAGGCAGCTTCATGCTGAGTCCCAGGATAGTTTTAGTGATTTGGACTCTGTGCATGGTCCCTGGCTCAAGTATTAAATAAAATAAGATCCCCTGGATTTCAGATTGAAGAGCCAGAGGGGGGTCTCTGCTTCCCCCATCAGGCACACGCTGTGGTCCTGTACCAGGCTGGTGATGCAGAAGAACAGAAGTAAAGAACAAGCCCATCAAAGTCAATGCTTTTTGTAGGCAAACTTCTAGGAGCTGATCACTCTACATGCACGAGTCCTCCTCTTATTTTTTCTTGCTTGAGTGCCAAGCTGGGAGCAGATGGTACATTAGTCACCCTTAACTGGAGGGTAAGAAAGTGTGATTTCTTTTTTTTCTAAATTCAGTTGAGACCCTCATCCCATTTAGATTCCCAGCTCAATGTTTATTTGTCTTACACAGAACTTGTACTTTCTACCCCTCTCAAATGCTAATCCTCTCCACACATATGCTCATTATGCAAAAGCATATGACAAACACCATCTGGGAAAATAAATAGCTCCTCAGCTAACTGTGCTGCTCCCTCCCTTTACGTCACCCACCTCACTATTGTCTCTCCTATTTTTATCTGCAAGACAGCAATCACTCAATCCAGCTATTAACTTAAAAGTGCTGTTTTAGTCAAGCAAGCTGCAGATCCCAGACTGGGCAGTAGAATCTATTCAATTTTTCGAGACGATGTGCGTCTCCATGATAATTTGAAAGCAGCCATAGCACTGAGAAAAATATGTTACTTTTTTAAAGGGCAGTTGATATCACTGACAGATTACTAGTCCTGACCTTAAGAAGTCCATGCTTGTTTTTTAGCTAGAAGGTTACATTTTCTCCCCCATAAAATATGCAGCTCTTGCCACAAGTTCTACCTCGTTTCCATGGATTCCTGAGACAGTCCTTCATCTCTGACAGATTATTCCTCATACTGTTCAAAGCCTAACTAAAATGGTGCTAAATAGGGAATGACATTAGCCAAGTTCAGTGATTTCTCTAACCTCTAAATAGATGGGTAAGAATGGGAGCCATGCTGTCATTAATCATGGTTGATTTGTTTTCTGCCAGAAAGTTAATCAAAAGAAATGAGGATGTATACGCAAGAGAAAGGCATCCCAGAATATTCTATTTTGGATTAGGAAAATCATCGTGATTCAGCAAAGGAGACATTTATTTAGTTAAATTAAACAGGATCTGCACAAACCAGCCATATTTTGTTGAGGCTAAGTAACCAAGAGAAATTCAAAATGCACAACCAGGAGACTCAGCAGCTGACACTGTGATATAAAGGCAGAGCTGTGTAAGTACCCTGTAAGAATTGTGGGGCCATAAACACCACAATACTATATCTGTTTAGGAAAAATATGAGACAGAATTCAATGATGACCTTATCTGAGCTACAAATTCTTGTCAATTATTATATGCTTGTAGGGACATGTTTAATAGATGGCAGAAAGTCCTTCTCATTTGTCCTCAGAGACAGCACTGATATTGCCCAGCTAAGAAATCCATTATACAGCTACAAAAGAGGCTATTTGATTTCATGAGCACGTGCCTTTATTATTTTAAGAATAATTTAACATAGGAAAGTGGAATCTGTGTGATAAAAAGACTGGGGTTTCCAGCACTTGCAGTTACCAGTTTTGAGGTTCTTGTGTCTCCTGTATGTTTTTTCTTTTTTTCTTTTTTTTTTTTTTTTTTTTTTTTTTTTTTTTTTTTTTTGTGGAGAGATTATTTTCGGTTTTCTCCCTATTTGTTCCACACTTGAGGGAGTTTCACCTCACCTGAAGCAGAGGGGTTTGAGGCAGGTACATGGTGTGGGTATCAGTGTTGCTCAGAATAGATGTGCCTGTGCAATACACTCTGTGCTGCTGAATACGCCTTTAACTCTCTTCTCTTTGTTGTTAAAACAGACGAACCAAACTCCTGGAGTGCTCCCTCTGCCACCTCCCCAGGTCTGCCGGAAGTAGCTCTTTCCCTCGAGGACATAATCTCACCATTATCTTCATCACACATAGCCCCACCCTCTGACCCTTCTCACCAGATAAGCCCAGAGCCAACATGGGATATCAAGAGGGAACACGATGTAAGGAAACCAAAGGAGCTTTCGATGAATGGTCACAAAAAGAAAAGGTTAGGAGAACAAAGAGAAAGGTCAGGAAGTCCTAAAAAGGTAGACAGGTCAAAGCACGAAGAGGTTTCTTGGAAAGGATATTCAGGAGGCAAAAATAAGACCACTGATGGTGGCAGGCCCACCTCAGAAAGCAAAGCGGTGGGACACAGCGTTATGATCGAGGCCGGCGCAAGAGAGCACGTGTGTGCTGGAACCGGTGATGAACAGTTTGGGAGGCTGAGGAAGCCAGAAAGCAAGAGAGGAGGATCTCTTAGCAAAAAAGACCACAGATCCACAAACACCAGTGAGAAGTCAGCGGCAGCACCCGACCACGTCAAGACCGATACAGGAGCTACCAAGACATACAGTAGCAACCGCTGCAGCTCGCCTGGAAGCGATATGGACCACAGCCAGAGGGACCCTGATGGGAAACCCAGCGAGTTCCCCAGGAAGGGACATCTCCACTCCATTAGCACTCGCAGCACCAACACAACAGTTCGAAAGGCAACGGTCTCTCCAGGGCCGTGGAAAATCCCTGGCTCAGATAAGCTACCGAGCGTCCTGAAGTCTGGTACTTCTGCCATGAGCAGATAAGCAAGGGACTGTTGCCCTCTAACTGTCTCAAACTGACGCAGAACATTCTTCTTAGTTTTTGTCTCACATTGGTTTGTTTTAATTTATTTTAACTATCACACATATACACAAAGCATTGAGGAATGAAAACATTAGTGTGTAATTCCATGACAATGTGCACAGTATCTAATAAGTTCAAAAGCATATAGTCAACACAGAGATTTAAAATCGACCCTAAAGTCCCAGTTCCATTTTAGGGACTTTGGCAGCTATGGAAGAAACCAAAACAATATGAAGGACAGTACATCAGAGAAGGATAGTGCAGTGTAGCTTTAGCATTTTTTTCCCACTGCATGAAGGACTTGGATTTCATTCAAACTTTATATCAAGAAACTGGAACGAGTTAGAGCAATCACAAACTGGAACATCGCCTTAAATAAAACTGCACGGAGCAAGCTGAAACAGAGAGAGGATCTTTTCATGGAGCTAAAATGTTGTAAATAAATTGTTCTCGACATATCTAGACAGGGGTTAAAGGGTTTCTTTAAAGCATCATTCGGAACTGTACACCCATGACACGTCTCCACTGTTAACGCTTTGGGATGGTCCACGTGGTACCCTGTAGAATAGTCCACCGGGTGCTGCGGGAGGAATGGGGAATCCAGTGGATTAGTTTCTGTGATACCATTTCTACTGCCATTTTTGTGAACAAACCATGTTTCTGTACATTGGAAAGGAGTTAAGGTGGAGTTGTATTTGCAAATTATTCTCAAAAGTGATTTATTACAGGTTCCCCAAGTCCTGCGAGGTAGCACACAAACCAATTGGTCAGGCTCAAACCCCAGGCATCTGCAAGGCCCTTGCAATGAAAGGAAGAGTGCTACAGAGAAAAAGCTGCAGTTTCCTTAAGGAAAGGCCTTTCCTTCCTGCAGAAGATGACAGTGTCACTTATCAACAGTGCTATGTTTCATACCCATCCGCATTTCCTTAGGACACTCTCACCTCTCATCCCCTCAGTTTGGCAGAGCAGGTGCCTTTCAGGCACACGTCAACAATAATTAGACTGGTTTCTGAAATACAGTTGTCGGTGTCCTCATTCAGTAAATTCAGTATTTTTCCATTTTTAAAATGGTTTCCATTTTACCATTTTTTCCCTATCGCCATTTTTTTCTTCTTTTTGTTTTTATCTTTCTTGCTTGTCTGTTTTGAATTTTAAGCCTTAAGTGCCAGGTAAACATTCCAGTCTGCCTTCACAGGAAATAACTCCGAGTTCAGTCAATCAGTCATTATCTTGTTTCAAACAGATGTGTGTGTGTCTGTGTAAGTGTGCGTATGCTTATTCGTCTGTCAAAATTAAAACAAAATCCTGGGCAATAATACATTGGTAATTAAAAAAAAAATTGTAAAGCTAAGTACTGTCAAAAAATCATATTTAAAAATTATTGTTCACTAGCAATCTTAGTTCCTCACACGCTCTGCTGAAAAACTAGATTGAGATTGGCTTTGTTCCAAGAAATTAGCACATTACTGTATGTCTCAAACATTGCACTGGACTGCGAAATTTATAGACATGTTTCTTCCTGTCCAATTATTTGAAAAGCCTCAAGTCAAGGATTTTGCAGCTTTCAAACATTTTTTTAAGAAAGAAAAATCCATTTATAATTTTTAAAAAAGCACAAATCCATGTAGCTGTTTATAAAACTCTTATTTAATGGGAAAAAAAATCTTTATCCCCTGAACTAGAATCCAATATAATTTGCCATTAATTTATTGAATCTGATTTTGGACAATGCTTCTGTAGTGTAGATGCACGTCCCGGTATCTTATTTTTATGTATAAAGAAAGCAAACAATGAAATCTGAAAAACAGTTGAGATTATGCTTGCATAAACTCTAATTTGCACAGTTCACAGCTACTCCTTGTGCAGTAATTGCTTTATGCGGCTGTAATCGATAACCTGTGAAGACAGCACATCATCTAAACCCCATTCCAAATAATATTTCTGTGTAGTGTTAGCTGTGAATTTACCTTGTACAGCTCTATCTCTATAAATATAATTCCATGTATTAATAGTCACAGAAAGGCTGTAAGTGAGCAACTATTTTTATGAAACGCACCACTATGGATAAATTAACTTTTACAGAAATCTTGTTTACTGTATGATATTCTAAACCACTGTCAAATAAAATATATATCCAAAAATCTTTCATTTTTTCAATTGTATATAGTTTGTGTTAATTTTGAGTAACGTGCTTTAGTGTTACCCTGACAAACAACCATTTTCTTGCATATGAGTAGAGTTAATTTGCTACTTCCTTATAAAAAAGGGAATAGACCATTTTAATTTCTTACTCCAGTTTATGAATAAACATGTAAGTGACCAAACAAATTTTATAAAGGCAAGTCAAGGCTTACGAGGCAACACAGACACAGAAAAATCTCTTCCTTGATGGAAGGAAGCCTAAACCCTTATTCTGCTTCCAGTCCAGAGACAAAGGACCAGGGTGGCCAGACTCCAGCAGTGAGAGACAATTCTGAGAGTACACCATATATACAGAATTAACCTGACACAAAATATATTTACCTCAGAAACTGGGCAGTTCTTCCTAGCCCTAGAAAGGTTTTGTTGACAAGCTGTGTGAAGGGGGCACAATTACGTTTTCAATTTATTTTACAGAAAAAAATTGTCTCAAAAAACATCATAATGGTGTAAAAATATTGGTAATGAGCCAGCCTCTTTTGGGACCAAATCCACCCCTCATTAAATGCTCCTTACCTCCAGTTAGGCAAAATAATCAGTTTATAGATTCTAGACATAAACAAAACAATGTAAGATGTCTACCTGGAAAACAAGCAGTATTTTTCACATAAATATGACATTTTCAAAAATAAGTATTTCCTGTTTCCTTAGAATATAATTTTTTTCAAAAAATAATAATTTTTCTTCATACAGTCTGAGTCAACTTCTGCAGAACTTTGTTTTTTCAGATTAATGTTCCCCATAGAAAATTTCAACCAGCTGAACTAATAACATAATTTTGCATTGCAATAAACACATAGAAAATATGAAGCATATTTAACACTCAAACATAATTTGCTGCTGTTTAAATAACCACTATTTTCACAATTGGAAATCTGGGTGTGTGCCTGGCTCAGACCCAGAGGTATCACAGGGAAGTGTGCTGATGCCATATGATTTCATCCAGTCTAATTTTTCTGTTAATAACATGTCCTTTGTCTTTTAAACATAGTAATACAGCACTTGCATCGCTCTGCTGTTATTATGACACCTTTTAATACCTCTTTTTCATACCAATGCAACAAGACAAGGAAATAGATGCCTTCTTTGATGCAGATCCTCTGCTCCATACTGCAGTGCAACACTGTAAGCAAACCTGCCAGCCTGTGCTCACCAATGCACATTTGGGCAGGAGTTTTGACAAAGAATCACCACAGACAGATGTCAGTGCAGCCTTTTTCTTAACCAGTGGCAAACGTGGGCTCTGGAGCTCGCTCCTTTCCCAGGTAATTCTCTGCCATAGGCCATTCACACAAACTGCAGAGCCTGGAAGAGCAGACCTTCAAACAAATTTAATAAAAAAGCCAGGAAATTCAATAGATCCCACAAGATCTCACCAAAGATGTCATCTTTTCTTCCAGAAAGCTGCTGGACAGACAGCACTCTGTATAGTTACAACAGAGCATAGGTTGCACTGGTTTCACTCCACTGTGCTCCTCTAAACAGGAGGGGCATCTGTGGCCCATATATCCGCTTTTTCCATGGCCTCACTGATCAGACTGCCAACAATTCAGCCCCTGTGAGGATAGCTGCCTGCTAGGAATTGATGAAGTTCAAACATGGGCCCATTTCTTCCCTGATACTTTTCATCTGAACATGCAGCCAGCCACCATTGCCAAAATCTTCTCATCCCCATCAAAGGTGAGATTCCATCTGATTTGTGCCATCTCTGCTAAACACAAACATCTCTTGCTTAGCCCTCTCTACATCCCATGTGGTCTCATCACCACCAGATTTATTCAGAATCTCTTCTCTTCCACCTCAGCCCTCACTGGTTCTTAATCCTACCCCTGAGATTTCTGCTGCAATTCAGTAAATCAAATTGTCCACTCTCCATTTTCTCCTTCTGTCCCTCAGAACTTTTCTTCCTTTTTTCCCCTTGTTATTTTAGCCCTCTGTCACCATCTGGCATCTCTCAACCTCCACCTGATGTGCATCAGCAGCTCAACATGAGATACCTCTTCCAAGAGGTGTCATGACCAGTTACACACCAAGTCATTAACCCTCTCCTGGCTGCCATACAAATGTAAAGACACACCCAACACCTTGCACTGGAACCCAAATCACCTCCCTTGTCCTCCAGAAACCAGCAGTGGTTACTTATTAGACACACTAAGTCTACATGCAGTCAGTAACTACTTTTGCAAATACAAACAATGTTTTATCTTCTTTGCTGGATGCCTGTACTGATAATGATTCAAGCATTCAGGCCAGGGCTTGTGGATGCAACATGCCATGATCTCTACTGGAAGTCTCCAAATTCATTTTACAAAGTCAGGGACAGGCAAAGCTGCAGGCACATTTCTCTCTCAGCCTCTACGCTCTTCCTGCACATCACTGCTGCCATGGAAACCTGGGGCCAGAACTGCAGAGGCAAAAGTGGAAGAGCACACCTCAGCAAATGAGGATGTCACCCTTCTTGCTTGGAGGGAAGCCCTGCAGGGAAGTGGAAAGGTTTCTTGGTACACTGTCATTGAGCTCAAAACTGGAGAAGTCTTTGGACTTGCCCAGGGATGTCTGATCCCATTAGGGACTGATTTGACTGGAGTCTCCAAATAGCCCTTTTCCTCCTCTGTCCCCTAGAAGCTAGGATGTTTTCTCTAATTGCTGCTAAAAAGGCCACACAAGCATGGCAGGCTGCCTCCTTTCCTGACTACTGAGGGCTGGGAGAGAATTGCCACAGCTGTGTCCTGCAGGATTCCCACCCTCCACAGCTGTCAGACTCCAGGACCCCCAAAGCTCTCTCACCATGTGTCAGTGGAGGGGCCCAGAGAAGGGGACACTCAGAACCAAACACTTTTACCTTCACAGCTACAGTCAGTGACTTTAGGTAGCCATCATTCCCAAAGGGAAATGCGGTGCATTTTCTGGACAGAAGCAACTGTGTTTGGGCCAGGATTCACACATTACCAGTGCCCCAAGCCCCTCACAGGTCCCCTGCTCAGCACCCAGAGCTGTCCTCTCCCTTGGAGAGGGACACCCAGAGCAGCCCCTGCCCACCCCTTGTAGGCTCTGCATAGCCACCACCCTGCTGGAGCCAAGGTACACACGCTCAGTCCAGCCTTGAGCGTTCTGGAATATTTTTCTCAATATTTCTAACAGCAATTATGTGATCACACATTTATCTCCATAGCTGGCACCTTAGCTTAGAGCAATCTTTTTTAAAATGTCTTGTCAAGGCACAGTAACATAAGCATTACCTCTGAATTATAGCCAATCTAAAACTTATGTTGTGCCCTTCCTGTCTTTAGTGCCTCTATGGCAATAAGTCACTCTGCCAGTTCAATTAATCGATAAGGAGAGTTTTGTTTACAAGGTACAAATATATATCCTTTAAACAGCTGGGGGAATGCCAGTGCACCAAGACCCACTCCCACACAGGGACCTGGAACACCATCTTCCATTTCCATTCAGGAACTGCCCAAATACCCATGTTTGAGTTGGACAGCTGCTGCTCTCAGGAAAAAACCAAAAACACAAAGGAACGCAGACTAATCCAGAAAGCTATTGTTCATCCACATATCAACTCCTGTAAGTGTAAAGACATTTAAACTGAAAAAAAATAATGAATAAGCAAGAAATGGTGCAGGGAGAAAGAAGAGTGATGAGCTTTTCTGTGATGCGGCCACCTGCTGACCTGCTTCAATTTCAACTTCTTCAAGCTTAAAAAATGAAAAAGATGAACTATCAAACATGACAAATGCCTCAAAAAAAGCTCTGCAAGTCTTGGGGACAGCAAGAAAGAATATGTAGTGATTACACTTCTGAAGAGAATTAATTTATTTAAGTAAAATGCCTGGGCTTGTGCTTGGGAGAGGAGAGCACACTTCCAATGCCCTCAGCAGCAACTCCAGGGTGTGGATGGGCTCCTCCCACACTGATGAATCTCTCAGAGATGTCCAGAGGCTGCAGCCACCCTGAGCAGCCTCAGCAGTGGGCTGGCACTGCCATGGTGGGTCAGCACCAGCACCACTGTGACACAGGAAGGCGGAGAATTCAACCCCTGGGATACTTCCCTTTATCTCTGCACCCCAGGAGTGCTGCATAGCTCCAGTGGACCTGTTGTCCACCCAAAGACATTGTAGGTGTGGAAGCAGTGGAAGGAGCAACTAAAAGAAGTAAGCCAAACCCAGACCTGTGATGAGAGTCCCAGTGCAGCTGCAAGCAGGATTAAAGATTCTGAGGAGCCACAAATCCACAGCTACAGCAGCAGTGAGGCAAGGGCACTGGCATCATTCTATCCTTCCCCTCTCAGTAACTGGGGACATTACTGTCACTGAAGCCACCTGAATATTTACATTTCTTTACTAACACTCTAATAAGAGAAATGCAGATTTTCTTCCTGGAGTGTCCTTTGCTCAAAAATAGTGAACAACAACAGGCACCCCAACCAAAACTCTCCTGCCACTACTAAGCAGCAGAGCTGCCCATGGCTCTGAAGTTTCTATTCATGCATATACATGGAATTAAAGAATTTTGGTGTTAGTACTTTCCCAAGAGGATTAAAAACTATGCCAAGAGCTTTAGCTAAAGTACTTAAATAATTGCAGTCCATAAACCAGAAAATTGTTCATCCTGTCTCTAAACCAGCAAGTACAAAAAGCTAGACTTAAGTACCAATTTAATTCAGGAAGAAAATCAGACCTTTTCCAGCACAGTCCAGACACCATGTGTGAAACACCTATTCTAATTAGCACTTCATTCACTCCAGAAATTTTTAAAAAATAAGCCCAGCAGGCAACATGGAACACTGCAATCTGTTAGTACAGAATATTTCGGAATACTTCTCAAACCTTGAACATCACAAACAATACTAACTGATTACTTTTCATATTGCTCCAGGAAAGATGAATGCCAGCATGTGCCTCCTCCTGGGTGACTCCTGTCTCCAATATCC